AAAATTCATCACACACGCGCACGCGCTTCACGAAGGGCCGGTAAATACAAAGATAAACAGGACGGTCGTGTTCTTTCTGTGTAATGTAGTAATTTCGAAGTTTACATAAGTCATAACATCTTGTATTTAACCACCAACCCTGTAGTGTAGGAGATCCCCCCAGGCCCCCATACGGGGCCCCTTCTAACCAAAAATGTAAATTATATTTTACCGAAGTAGACCCACGTGAAACTCGTGTGTTACTGATCTCTGATCTAGATTGAGATTTTGTGGGTATACCTTTTCTTCTAGGCAAAATGGTAAAATTATTAGTTTATTAACTTGTATTGTTATTTGATGGTATCGGTTATTTGTGTATACATTGAATAAAATAAAAACAACAAGTAAATGTAGTGAAAGTAGTCTCGTTAAAAATCAAATTGGATAGTCCACAGTTTTCTCGTACCGTGATCATTAACTTTGACACGGTTTACAGAGGTGAAGCAAGGTGACGGGGTCACTGAACTTATAGAACCCAAGACGGTGGGACAGTACGTCTAGAATCTAGGACCACAACGAAGACAGCGCAACGCGGCACGCGCACCTAGCCAAACCAAAAGACTCAAGTCGACGACCCCAGCCCACAAGAGGACTAGTCGGTACCACATAGAATAAAGGAGGTATTAACTGGGTCGCAGCGACGGGTGTAATACGGGAATGTTTGAGATCGATTCAATTCGATTACCATTAAGTAAGAAATTGACATCCGAAAATAGTTTCATAAATTAAATGAATTTAGCGATTTACATGTTGTAAATTTAAATTTTATTACTTGGAAATGTAAATACGGCAAATACTGAAGAAAAGGAACTTCCCCTTAACCAACAGTTTATTTCCCCAAATTACCAGCGAGTTGAACGGGGGAACAACAGAAAGAACAGTTCCGGTAAAAAGGAAGCGGAGACCTTTTACCTGTCGGGGAAAGTGGGGCGCATTTAGGTCCAACCGGAAGCTTCCAAACGGGGCGGGCTCGGCGGGTTTCCCCCCGGGGTTTCGTGGAAAATAATTAAAAGAAAAATTTATTTTTAAAAAAACAAAAAACAAAAGGCGCCGGGCGTCGGCGGCGCCGCTTTTGTTCCCCTTGGGCCCCGTGGCACTCTTTTGCGGTGTCCCTGACTCCCCCTTGGGGATGTCTGGGCATGGGGGTCTGGTATTGTGGTGTCCTCTTGCCATTTTTGGGCTTCGGTCTTTGTCCGTGATGGCTTTTTTATTGGCTCTATGTCTCTCACTTGGCCCAGAGTTAACCTTCAGTTCCTCCTTGCAACCTAGCACGGACCCGCTGTCTCCCATCACTTAATTCTTGACCTGTGTGGAGGGTGGTTTTACAGGTCATTTTTCACGGGTTCCCTTGGGTGATTTTTGTTTCCCTCTTCTCTTCAATGTACCGGGTCTCCGCCCTGGGGCCCGGCAAGGGGAACTTTTGCAACGGAGGCTCTTTCCAGTTTTCCATTGGGGGTATGGGACCCGGGGGTTTTTTTTCGGGTTTATGGAGGGGGTTGGTGACCAATTGGTCACACCCCACGGGGGTCAGCTTCCTTCCTGAGGTCGCTTCTTGCCGGACCGGCATGGGACCCTGCTCCCCAGCGACGCGATGGTGTTGACGGGTTTACACGTTAACGACCCCGGATATGGTGGGGTGGCTGGCACATGGTTGGTCGCTAGCTCGGGCAGGGTGGATTAGTTCAAACTGCTACTTTTTTGAACTCTTTCCTTTGGTTTCGGGGACCACGTCCAGTTCTCCCATTCATGACCGGGGGATAGGTGATTACCCACGGGGCTACTCCCTTGTACTGATTTTATTGTTGAAGTAACTATTGTTACTTCAGATTTTCTGTGGGACCCCAGGGACCAAGTAGGAGAAGTTCTCTTTAGGTAGGTAGTAAGTGAGACCTTCGGTCGTCTTTTCCCCTTTCCAAGGCCACGGGTGGAGACGGGTTTTTAATTGGGGTCAAGTCGACGAAAGGTCTCCGGAAAGGTATTTTCACCCTTTTAGATTCGGGACTCCTACTTAATACTTGGTTTAGATTGGACCATTTTTTCCAATTACCTCCCGAAGTCGGTTAGTTTGTACAGTTGGCCAAACAAAAACAACCCAAACTTTATCCCCAAGTACCCTTAACAATCGTTTTGAGTATTTTCTTTTGGGCACTTCCGGGGTTAATTTTTACCTTTTTTAAAAATATTTGTTTCGCGCGCCGCGCTCACATTTTGCTGGGCCCGCGTGCCTTAGCACCGCTGCTATGACTCCATCCTAGGGGAAACACTGCAGTCTATGCTGCCCCAAAACGCCTCGTTGGAGATTTCTCATTTTCCATTGTTTACTTCCTGGGTACTGTGCCGTGTGAATACCCAGAGGCCACACCCTCTGCCAGCCTTTCACGAAACAAAGCTTCCCAAACCTTCAACGATTCATGCCGGATATGCACAGCGTAGGGCACTGAAGAACGATGCTGTTCCTACTTTGTTTGGACCAGCGGGAGATTCGGGAACACAACCTGTAAGTATCCATTGTTGTTTGTGTATTTATGATGTTTAAAACAAACAAGGTATCTACCACGACTGTTTAAATGGCTAAACGTTTTTCGGGCTGCTAAGTTGGGATCGCGGAGAAATGTTCTCCGCAGACCCATGCTCACAGCGTTATACTGTAAACCTTTTTCTTACTCAATATCAAGCCACACTTATTGTTTTTACTTGAGCTGTGAGTGTTTGTGTGTGCTCAGGATGAGTTTGGCTTGTTCTCGCTGTATCGCCGACCCGGAAACCCTGTCCGCTCCTCGCAGCAGCTCGCATCAACGAGCCTCTCAACGTCCCGACCAATCAGAGCACACTGGGCTCACAACAAGCCGTTTAGGACAGAGAGTGAATACCGGTGAATACACATACTTTACAGAGATGCTGTATGAGAAACCAATGTGAGTTTGGAAAATTGCACAGTATAAATCTATGCTAGTATACCTCAACAATGGAATTATGATCAGGAGAAATGGCCATGACATGGGACCTTTAACTAACCCTAACAAACGAGATCTCGCTAAGCGGTCATACGACGCTGGTTATCAACTCCCTAAATCAAGCCAGGGTTTCTCCGTCCAGCTGAGAGCGCGTTCACGTGAAAGGGGCGGGGTTAGCAACATTTGACCAATCACAAACATGGACAAGCGTACCGACAGCGCAGCGTCATACTTCATGAATGAAAAGTAAAGTATCATGTTAGACAAATATGAAGAAGTTCAACTTTAAACATCCATGACTCAAACACTTAATCCAGGATAAAAGCAACATAGCTGTAACTGCAACGTGAATACAGAACAGCTGGAAAAAGAAAAACTACCGAATGTTTGAATGCGTAAATGAACAGGTTTATGATATCACTGCCCCATCCAACACACAAGTTAATCTGACATTAAATTACATTTGAGTGTTTCGTCAACTTAATGTTTTGTTTTAAATAACACTTCGGCATAAAGTATGTATAAGTAAGTGCACGACTCCGGTGTGTTGCATGGCCAAGAAGCTGACACAGATAAGTGAATAGCTTATCAAAGCCCCCAAAATATTCACAGAATAAATAAAGTTATCTAAATGTTGCAACCAATGCGAAGAACTGGCTCCTTCCAGTACAGGTGCACACACTGGCCAGGTAGACCTGCTGTGTTACTTTGCTGCTTGCTTCCAACAGTCCTGTGTGGTGACAGGCACACACACCGTGTACACTGCGTTGTACAGTACACATCTATCAGGGTTCATACACTTTTTCACCAATGATTTTCAATGACTTCTCCATGACCTTTACCTAATTTTCCATGACCAACATTTTTTTATGGTTTATTTTAACATGGAACAGGAAAATAAGGTCTGAAACATGTTGTGCCTATCTAAAACAAATCAAATAGGCTTACTAGGTTCTACACGCTAAAGCAACTAAAATCTCTCACCAGCAAAATACCTCGTCAGTTAAATGCCATTTTACGTTTCATTACTATACGATACAGTATTTATTATCATTATAGTATTACTATTTTGGCGACTAGATAAAATATAAATTATATTTGATGCAACTTTAGTTACATTTCCATGACTTTTCCAAAACTTTTGGAAAAATATTGTTTTCCATAACTTTTCCAGGGCCTGGAATTAGCATTTTGAATTTCCATGACTTTTCCAGGTTTTTAATGACCGTAAGAACCCTGATCATTAATATAATTTACAATGAGGTCTTTATTGACACATTTCAAAGTAAAGTTTAGTAAAAAGAGTTATCAATCATGATTTTAAGGTTGAAACTAGCAGGGGGTGCTTGACATGTTCAGTGATGAGCATGCAAGAGGGGACATAATTTAGCCCTTTGTGAAAAAAATATGTTTAATGATAGAAAGGGGGAGAAAAAACAGGGTTAATGCAAACAAAAAGAAGCTTATTATATTATTAAAAAACATGAGGAAGCTAAAATAAAAGGAAAATCAAAATGTATCCCACACACACTTCCCCATCGCTAACTGCTGCTCTCCTCATCAGAAATCTATGGATACTGACCGCTGTACTGCCTTTTCGTGGCGGGAGAGCCGGTGGCTGGTGGTGGGAACTTCCTCCATTTCGTCGTCCATGTCGCATCCGTTATCCGCCGCTTCCTGTGAGTAGCTGTGCTTCATCACCAGGATGCTGCGTCTGTTACCAGAGGACGGCAGCAGGGGGCGCACCGCCATGTTCTGCTGCGGGAGGTCCGTCAGCAGCGTGGCGGCGTCGCGACTCAAGTTCCCACGGCTTCCTCGCCCACTGAGAGACAGCTGGGATAAGTGGGCGGAGCCAGGGTTTGAGGAGGAGCCACAGTGATGATCGTGGATGCATCTCGAAGAGGCCCGTCGCAGAGCGTGGTAGTTCTCAAAGTCCTCCGCCAGGTCCACTAAGTC